ATTTTTATGTATATAGATATCTCTGGAAATGTTCAAGGTAGAGTACTGGAACTTGGTTTGAAGATATATGAAATCAATCCCATACTCATGGAGAAAAATGGGCTCTTTAAAAAGAGGGAATGGCAAAGTACAAACGTACTGCCTTTGCCTTATCTTTGAATGTGTACATAGGTATGTTTGTGAGTGAAATCCTGAATGGCTGGAGGGATTTCAACAAAGTTATGTGTGTGTGTTTGAGTGGGTCTCTGGATAGTTTAGTTTGACAATTGAACACGCCAGTTGGCGCTGGAGTTGAGTTATTACTAAAAATCATTTTTTATGATCTGATTTGGCGAATGTTCAGAACATGTAATGGACATGGTTGAGACAGTCCAATTGCAAAAAAGAGCGGTGAGGTGATGCTGAGGTCGAGTTATTACTAAAATCGATAAGTGAGAAAAGGTGCCGAGAATGTCAGTCTAAATCGACCTGTTGCACCATTGAGTATATCGAACTCTCGTGTGTTACGATTGGCCCAATGGATGTGATTTGCCAATATTATTATGCGTTAAACCTTCATTCCGACACACCAGGGTTAAGTTGTGTAGTGGCAAATCTCAAATCACCACCTGTCGAAATATATTTCTTTAATTGAATTTAATATAGAACCTGATAGAAACATAATTTTTCATCTCAGTCTATGTATGTATATTGTATATCTGTTGAACAAGAATACGCATCCATTTTGAAATTGCCACCAGCTATAAAGTTTCTAGGGCAGATTCAGTATAGATCCGGATCATTGTTGCCGCCATGGAACTTCTTCATGGACATAACACCTTCGTTAGGTTATTAAAGGCGGCAAACGACCACCAAACCATAATCTTAGCCGATGAATGTGCTAATGGAAATCGTAAGCGTGGACTGTTGGAGAAAATGTTGGATCAAAATGGTTAAATTAAAAATCTAATTTTGGGCGGGACGACGTTCGCCGGGTCTGCTAGTTTTAAATACAAAAATAAATGCACAAAAGCATAAAACTTGGACAATTAAAAGCAAGAAAAATTTCTAAAACGATTTTATAAACAATTTGTTTTATTTTATTGACAAAATATATATATTCCAGGTAATGTAAGTAAAACAAAACTAATCAAAATAAAAGCCTTGGGTATCAGTGCTGACAAGATACATGCATCACTAAGGGTTAATTCGTTTGTTTATACTTTTTGACATTATAGTTCCTTAAAAGAGAGCCGCACTGAGTTGTCAATCACACCTTGTTTAATACACACAAAGTGGCTTGATAACGATCAATTCAGATGTCTGATTCAAATTTGGCATGCCAAAAAACATAAGAAACGATAGTTTTCAGTCCAACCAGTCTCTTTGTGTACCTCTGTACAACGAGGGACTATTCTAATTGCATTTTTTAAAAAGTGGTAGGATAATTTTTTCACGATGATTTCAAAATTTGAGAATAACTATTATTTACGCTCTCTGCTGTGAACATGTACCATTGGTTTAAAATCTGAATTTTTACAGGTTCCTGGCAGCAACATCAAATGGAACTCGCAGACTTGCATAATCGAATCGAAGCGCAGGGATCAATGATCGCAGAACAAGTGCAGCGTTTGCAAAACGCAGATTTGCTTGTTAAAGACTTGTACGTGGAGAATGCTCATTTAGCCGCCACAGTACAACGGTTGGAGCAGAATCGTGCTCGCATGACTATGATGCACCAGCAACGACAAGGTTTGAATGGATTGCCTGGAATGCCTTAATCATTTTGGTGTAATGTTATCCATAAATTTAGAGGCGATTGAATTACGAAATATTTTCTATGAGTAGTTGATATCATCTGTACACAAAAAGGTATTGCTAATCCAAAGAGATCAAATTTCGCACAATACTCGTTTTACACCTGAAACGAAATATTTTTGTCGATATAACTGCATTCATTCTCATCCTCTGCTGAATGCAACGTTACTGCTGCAGTGCACAAAAAAGCAGATAGTCGTTAAAGTGTCACTACAAAGGCCTCTTTTTTGTCCCATATTACATCGTGCTTTCACTTAACCTTCAGTTTTACCATTCAATTTGGCGTTGTGGAACCAAGACTCTCCACTGATTGTTAGAAATAGAAATGTAGTGCATATTAAATGGAGCACGATGTAATATAATATAAATATTAGGTAGTAAATTATATTGACTTGCAGATATGTACATTCATACATATGCATAGTCATGACTTGCATAATGAATTAAATTTATAAAAGGCTAGTATTTTATACGTAGACATAATCTTATAATTCGTAGGTTATAAGATGGCTACTAAAAATATCGATGGGTATCTAGTTTGATTTTCTTTTTTTCATTATGGAAAAGGGTAATATTTTTATCTATTATGCAGTTTGAATATATCAACAAATTAATGGCCTTATTCATAAAAAATAAAATAGGTTTGAAGAGCTTTATAAAATGACAGTTTCATAAAAATTTTCGATTTGTTGCTTTATTTTTTATGAATTTGGGGGCAAAGCTTAGAATCCAGCTTTCAAGAAAAATCACAAGAAATATTTTTCATTATTTCTGTTGCTTGGAAAAGCACTTTGCTTTCACAGTGAATTTTCTTGAAGAAATAAAAATACGAGCATTTTTTCTTGAGAACTGCAAACTGGTTTAAGAAGTTTTGGTAAAAGCATTAAGAAAGCGACACCATCGTCTCTCAATAAATGAATTACTAACATATAGACAAAAAATCAGCTGATAAATTTAGTTCTGTAGCTGAACAGTTTTAGACCTCGAAACTTAACAAACTCCTGCCTTTCGGCGCAAAAATTTAAATAATGGTTCCGTACGTCATGCGGACTGCGCCCCTCGTGCGGATGGGCGTGAAAGGAGGGAAAGTTTCTTTTTCATTTCTTGTGCGACATTTTATATGATTTTTTCGTTTTTTTGGAGAGCTGGAAACAGGGCTTAAGTTTTTATGTTTACATATTTTTTTTTTTGTTTTCTTGTTTGAGCCTTTAGCTAATTAAATTCCGTTTGGGTTCCTTTTTTAAATATGTCTAAATATACTTATATTTGTATCTATTTATTAAAATCGTTTAAGGAATAAAAAAGAAGTATGTACATTAGGGTGGCCCAACATTGCCGCCGGGGCTTTGAAGTTTCAATGGGGAAAATACATGTTTTGGTAGAATTGCTATAAAATCGTTAAAAATAAATATTTTTTGATCGAATAAGACAATTTCTCTTCAGAAGTCTTCAAAAATAACACTATGATGCTTATTTAACTTAAAAATTTTGCTATGTGTGTTTTAATAACCGATAATCCCATCTGTTATATACAGTGGCTCAATAAAGAACTCGGACACCCAAGTGATATAATTTCAAATCAAAACATAAACAAACTGCAACGCATACATGACAAAAAATAACTCGGACATTTATATTAAGTAGAGTTTGGCAAATATTATTTCAGAAAGAAAAAATAAGTTAATATTTAGTCGACAAGCCTTTATTTTTCTGACAGCATTCAGTCTTCTTGGCATAGATTCGACCAGCTTCTTACATGTTAAAGGATCTATTTTCTCCCACTCTTCTTTAATAACATCTTCTAGGTCTTTCTTGTTTCTAATAACATGCTTTTTCAGTTTGTTTTCCAAATGAGCCTATAGATGTTCAATTATATTGATGTCTGGAGATTGTGGAGGTGTTTCAAGCACTTTAGGACAGTTGTAATAAGCCATAGACGGGCATCAAGGGCCTCATGCTTGGGATCGTTGTCTTAATAGTACTGGAAGTTGTCTTTAATTCCCAACTTTTAGAACTTTGGACCAAATTCTCTTTCACAATTGTTAGGTATTGTTTGTGGTCCATATTGCCGTTAATGAAGCACAAATTTCCAGTACCAGCAGCGAACATACAACCCCATACCATTACCGACCCGCCCCCGTGTTTAACTGTCGGACGTACGTTTTTTTTCCAGCAACTATTCATTAGGTCTTCTCCACTCATATGATTGTCCATCTGACCTAAAACTGTTGAACTTGCTTTCATCTGAAAATAAAACGGCCCTATAGAACTCGAAATCCTTATCCCCATGACGCTTTGCAAGTTTTATTCTCTTCTGTCGGTTAACCTCTTTTGATGAAAGGTTTCTTCCATGCAACTCTTCCATTATAATTATTCTTTCGCAATACTATTCGTATACTTTCGAGGTTGCAGTTGATATTAAGGTGTTTGGCGACTTCTGTTAAGAGTTTAGGAGCGCTCAAATTTGGATTTTTCTTAATTTGTTGCACTATCCACCGTTCATCTGCATCCAGTTTTGGTCGTCCCGATTTCTCCTTTTTTCCACGCATTTTGTTTCTTTGAAACGTTTTACCACGTCGTGTACAATCGAACGAAGTCTATCCACTATGTCTGCGATTTCCCTTTTCCTGATTAATTTTCTTACTTCGATTGAGCTTTGTCCACGCCGTCTACCCATGGTTAATTTTGGACTTTTATTCAAAAAAACACGACTGATATTTTATTTTAAGTTATTACGTTTGGTACCTTTTTACCGAAAGCAAATTCATTGTGGGATTGCCTTTTTAAAATTGCCAAACAACTGTAATATTGCCAGATGTCCGACTTCCTTCTTGACACCAATTTTAAGCATGCTGTATGTTTACTTTTTTTATATCAAGGAGGTAATGGATTTGTAAATTATCATTGTTATTTTTAAACTCCTATTTGAACACCCAATAGAAAAATAAAAAATAAAAATATTTAACTTGCAGTGCTTACGAAAATTTTGAACTTGAAGTTGCATGTTATGTATGTCCGAGTTTTTTATTGAGCCACTCTACAAAAATTAGTTATTTTATGGTTTCATAACCACATCACGCACCAACGCTCAATGGATGTGGTTAATTCTTTTGTGCATTCTGCTTGATGTTTTCTTAGGTTCGTGGTAAACAATTTTGAAAAATAGGGTTGGCAGATATTTGAAAATTTAAAATTATTTAAAGGTTAATAAAATATTTAACTTTCTTCACCTAAACTAAAAGCCACCTTTCTAAAAAATAGAACAATTATTATTCAAAACTTAAGCTTATTTAATACCACAGTATAGGTATCACACGAAAGGTGTACGCATAAGCTTTGGACTAACATGATGAGGTAATTATGTATTTAAGTAGTGAAATGATGCAATATGCATTTTTGCTCATTCGGTAGTTTGACATGGTAGCGACGATATATCGCACTCGTTTAAATTTTTTAGATAGGTGATGACTCTATCCAGAAATATGTACGGGTTAAAACTTAATTTTACGCCTTTTGTTGGAAACTCATATTTTACTTAACCGCACGCAGTATGATTTGAATTTTTTTTATATAAACAGAAGTCCCTTTTTATTACAACGTTTTTATCAATTTGCATGTCCAGACCAGGGATTGGCAAAGGGTGCTGTTTTTGTGACTTTAAGCCTACTCACGTTAAAAACGGACGATGAACGAACACCACCGCAAAGCGTGCTGTCTTGCAAATACAGCCCCCACAAGTGAACGATGCTTATAACAGCTCATACTGATATTGACTTCAGCAAATCTGTGCTCCGAATGATCGTGCACGAAACCAGCAACCGCCGTATTTGACCGACAGCCATAAGCACGATACTGCATTTGGACGGTTGCCGAAAGCATGACAGCTTATGTGAAAGAGTGGCGAAGGCAAGATGCCGCAGTTAGCTAACTTGATTTGTTGCAGAAGTCAAACCGTCGCCTTTGGTTTGTTGCTGAAGGCGCGTTTGACGTGTTGCCGAAGTTATGATACTGTAGTTCAAAAACATTCAAAGACAATTGCTTGTTTGAAATGAAGCATTGATATGTACATACATACATACGTACGTATGCACATTCCTCACAACTAGCCAGGAGTGAGCAATGCAATTGAATGGTAGACGCGCTATAAATACATACATACATGCATACGAGACGATAAATTACCCTTTACCACATTCGTCGTCATTTCAGCAGCAAGTCAGATGATTTTCAGCAACAAGTCAGATGATTTTCAGCAACAAGTCAAATGGCTTTCAGCAACAAGTCAGATGATTTTCAGCAACAAGTCAAACGACTTCTGCAACAAATGATGACTCATGTTTTCGGAGCCGTTCAACTGCCACGTTTGCTGGTTTCGTGCACGATCATTCAGAGTACAGATTTGCCGAAGTCAATATCAGTATGAGCAGTTATAAGCATCGTTCACTTGTGGTGGCTGTATTTGCAAGACAGCACGCAATGCGCTCGTGTTCAGTCATCCTCTAATTTCGTTTAGGTATCGATACTACTAAGCCAACGCCGCTGCTCAGTCATACAAAGCAGCGGCATTGAATGAGTATGAACAGTTGACGATCAACCAATGCCAATCCCTGGTCCAGACACCATTTTTAGCTATAATTATAGATTATCAATCTTGTCGGTAGGCCTTGCGGTAAGTAGCTAAATATTGCGCCTAAAAATATGCACTACATATGCTACAGCGGAAATGTATGACAAGCCATTTCTTTAAGTGAAATTAATTGGTGCTCGTAGGGATGCACATACTAAACGTGAGCACAAAACAGTTTGCTTGCATACGCACAAAATAAACCACACAAATATTTGCGCAAATACCAATAGGAATCGAAGAAGAATCTTATTTGTAATAATTTGTATTTGCGCAAAAATTTGTGTGATGTATTTTGCGCAATAGTCTTCAGTTCTCTTTTTACTGCAAGTTAAACTATTTTAATATCTGATGCAAAATTTTATATAGACACACACCTAAAAATAGAAAAAAAAACTTTTTAATATACCAAGCTTTTATAAATGAATAGAATTTGTTTTGATATCTTTTGATTTTGAAATTTTAGCAAAAGTTATTATAATCAATTTATGAGATTGAAAATGAAAAGCGTGGGCCGCATGTAATAGACTTGAATTGATATGAAAAGTAATATACACAGAGGTCCCTTTTTATGCGGTTTTTCAAACCATTTTTTCGCTGTAGCGGTTTTGCCTTTTTGAGAGTTTTTATTACTTTTTTTAGTGTGCAAGGTTTTTGAAAATGCTGGAACGCATACCCTGTTTTTGTATGAAAGTAGAGAACTTTTTAATGCGGACTTTTTTTATGCGGCTTTCTGAGGAATGCATGTGCCGCATAAAAAAAGACCTAAGTGTATGTATGTATGTATGTGGGAATATGAATATCGACCGCTTAAAATCGATCTCAAATAACGCATATGAAAAAACCGAAATAATGCATACCTGCACACTTTCGTTTGAAAACCGAAATAACGCATATGAGAAAAACGAAGTAATGCATACAAGCACAGTTTCGACTCAAAACCGAAATAATGCATTTGACAAAAACCGAAATAGTGCATACATGAAAACGAACTTCTTTATGCGTAGGGCCTTCGACCGCGCTTAGGGATTATAACCCTTACTAAGTATAATTCTCCTTTCTGTGTTGCCGGAAAAGGGGACCGGAAGTATTTTTGCGCAGAACTTCTTTCCGCATAGGCGGCCTTCGGCCGCGCTTAGGGATTATAACCCTTACTTAGTAGAACTCTCCGTTCTGTGTTGTCGGAAAAGGGGACCGGAAGTATTTTTGCACAGAACTTCTTTCAGAGTAGGCGGCCTTCGGCCGCGCTTAGGGATTATAACCCTTACTAAGTAGAACTCTCCTTTCTGTACCGCCGGAAAAGAAGGGCGGAAGTATTTTTGCGCAGAACTTCTCTCTGCGTAGGCGGCTTTCGGCCGCGCTTAGGGATTAAAACCCTTACTAAGTAGAAGTAAATAATTCATATTAGAAAAAACGAAATTATGCATATGCAAGAAGACCGAAATAATGCATATAACAAAAAGCGAAATAATCCATGCAAGCAAAGTCGCTGTGGTATGTCAAACCGTTCGGACGTGTTTGCTATTCGCTCTGTTAAGTCTTTTACTGGTGTATCTATAAACTTTCATCAAAGCATACAATCTTTAGTGGAGATAGTGACCCTAAGAATGTAATTAAAATTGGCATAAATATAAACTATTACAAATGCCGTGCGTGTTTAAACTAAAAGTGGACCGTACTCAGTCGAAGGTGTAGTGTGCAGACTGTAAAGAGCTAATTCATTTAAAGTGTGTTGGTATTTTGCAAAGTGATCTCGACTTTTTGATTGCATCCAACAAACCTTTCTTTGCAATGCTTGTGCTGCTGAGCGCCGTGCATCTCTTCGCGCATCATCACCAGCTGTTAATTTTAATGAGACAGCTTCTTCTAATATGCACTCTGAATCACAAAAACAAAAACCCATTGTAAACTCTACTCCACAAGACAATTATCAAACAGTGGTCAAAGAACTTATAGCTATGATAGCGGAGAATGCTCGTGTGCTCTCGTTCTTGACTACTATTTCTGATGATAATAAACAGCTGTCAAATAAATCTGATGCACTTCATGCTGACATTCAATACTGCAAACTAATCTTCATAACAAAGACGCTGTAATATCTTCGTTAACATCCGAACTAAAAGACCTGCGATGCGTTGTCAGTGACTTGCATAAGTTGATCACAAACTGCTTTGTTGATGTAAACAAATACAAGGAGGTGGCTGATACAGCTAATCAATCTATCTCTTGCTCTTCATATTCATCCACTGTCGTCAATGCAAATGATTCAATAATCAAAGCTGCTGCCGCTGCTGACTCTCGGTCAACCTCGAATGCTGCTACTAACGTTGTTAGTCAAACTCTCTTATGCTCTTCGCTTTCGCCTTCTTCTGTTGGCAATGCTCAAGATTTATATTCTAATACGCCTACTACTGATGCTTCGATCTGTATAGCAGCTGGTGCTGCAGTAACAAACGTTGAGAATACGAATTTGATTTCGAGTGCCTATGTTGTTGCGCCGCCGGAAGCCTACCCTAAGCCTCTCAGCATCTATTACCAAAATGTTTCTGGGCTTAGAACTAAGTCTAAAAACTTTTACGAATTAAGTTCACATTTGGACTATGACGTATTTGTTCTGGTTGAAACCTGGCTAAATGCTGATTTTTATGACAGCGAATTTTTTGATCCCAACATTTACAACGTCTATCGTAAGGATCGGGATGCCATCAAAACTGGACTTGCTCGTGGTGGTGGTATTTTAATTGCTGTTCAGCGGAAACATCGTTCGTCGCTTCTTTCACTGCAGAATGGAGATTCACTACTAGATCAACTATGTGTATTCGTGAATGGTTCTTCAACACTTATTATTAGTGCATCCTCTATTCCGCCAAGTAGTACAAATACTTTGTATAAAGTGTATATAGATAACCTTGTGAACTTAGTATATAAGCGATCAAATTGCAATACAGCATAGCTTTGTATCCTAATAATGTTAACAGTTTTTCTGAAACATATGTTGTGGACAATCTATTAAGCTTAAATCTCTTCCAGATTAACAAGTTTATTAACAAACTTGCTAGGATCCTAGACTTAATATTTATATGCGATAACATGCACTTTTCTCTACATGAATGTCTCGACCCTCTGTCGTGCCCAGGCCTACATCATGTTCCTCTTGTTCTGCAATTGGAGTTTTATGAGTTCAGAAGCATTAAACTTGATACTCCATCTAAAAATTACAGTTTTAGGAACTGTAACTTTGATGCTATAAATGATATGATTGGTATTCTAGACTGGGACTCTATATTTGTTGGGGAAGATATTACCGACTGCTTTAATATTTTTTAAATGCAAAGTTAATGAAATTTGTAGAAGTATCCCTTGGTATACCAAGGATTTAAAGAAGCTTAAGAATTTAAGGAATAGGTTTTTCAAGAAATACAAATTGTCAAATTCGTCTTCCCACAAGGAAAAGTATTTATACTATTCCAATAAGTTTAAATCACGGAGTAACACCATGTTCTGACCGACAACGAAAACACTTTGAAAACGAGTTTTGGAATTGTGGGCTGAATGCCGTTCACACCGGCTGTTAGTGTTTTCGTTGACATTTCTTACATCCTCTGATTACAGTTTTGCTACACAAAAA